TGCCTGCTTTCCTTACAAGACTGCTGCTAGCAGATGGATGTTCCCGCCTGAAGAAACACAGGAACAGTTGAGGGACAAAGATGCGCATATATTTAAAGTGACCACATACTGCCTATTTTCTGGTAGCACAAAACCACAGGAACGAGGTGCTTCTTACTGTTATCTGGACAGGTAGCTTGCAGAAAGAGAGCCGTGAACAGGAAAGCCATGTTCTTTGCCTCTTGGACAGTACAATTTAAAACTCAGTTCAAAAATCATCACTGCTAGCAATCAATCAATAAATTGTAATTAACTAGTAATTAGATGCTGCAACAGATATTTGACCATGTAGTCATGGGAAGTTTTGTTTGGCTGGATTTTTTGTGTAATTACCAGAAAATTTCTTTCTATTCAGCTCTCAAATGAGAGAACCCTGCCTAGCCTGAACCAGACATTCAGCTTGCCAAACCCCTTTAAATTGCAGTGAAAAAAAAAAACCCCACCCTAAAATATAATTGAAGTGTGTCTCAAAGTTATGTCCAGAAAGAAAACAGCATACGGCCTGTATATAAATAGGAAGGGGAATATTAAGAAGTAATTGCTAGCTTACTGGTTTACATATATTTTTGTGTACTGCTCTCACAGCTCTGATTTTCACAGCCAACAAACACCAAGATTAAACTCCCTCCAGTGAGGCAGAGAGCCCTCTAACACCTTCTGAGACACTGAAACAACAGGAAAGCAGAGCCAGGCTGTGATGAGTAAGCAGCATCCTAGCCTTATCTATAATACATTGACTTCATTTTACCACTTAGAAGATTGGGAGAATTATCTTCAATTTTTACATATATCATTTTATAACCATGGCTTCTTCATCTCTAAGAATGTCATTTGATGTCACATGTATTTGTACACATTAAGTTTTAGTGAGAACTGTAGGAAATATTTGGAGTTCCTATGTATTTACTTTGTTTGTTACTTTGAAGCTTTTTGAGCCAGAAGGAAAGCTATAGCAGAGGTGACTTTTAGAAGAATTCAAGATTGCATTCAAGACTAAATTACTTGAAACCTTACATTAATAATTAAAGTAGTTTTAATAAAATTCTAAAGCATATTAAAATTATTTCATGCTTTTGTGATTTTTTTAATCAGTGCTTCTGAATTTTTTTTCATGTTTTCCTTAGTTTTAGTATCTACTTTCTTAGCAACGGCATTGATATAGTGAATTTTTGTTGGTATATCAGGTAGCGTTGTCAGTATCAACTACAACAGCAGCAGGCAGTTTTAGCAGAACCAGAAGGCAGACAGAAAAGAGTGTGGCTCAGTGGGATACAGGTTTGTAGCACCTGGAGGTAAGCTGGGTAATAGCAGTTGTCCAGAAAATGGTGATGAGATCAGAGAAGCAGCTGTTCAAGTGCAGAGGCAGGAAATAGCATTTGCAACCATGAAACCTGAAAAGGGGAAGTTTAATATACAGAGAAGATTAGAGTTTTTTCAAGACTGGAAATCCAGGAAAGAGAAGGAAGAAATCTGGTGAGAAAAGGGGAGAATCTAGGTGAGGTAGAATGATAAAGGCCTTGGATCCAGTGGTGAATATTCTAAGAATCACTAATTACTGAGAGTTTCTGACCACAATAAGAGATGCTGGTACCTGGACCAGAACTATGGTTTTATTAGTATTCTACTTTGCAGGAGTTAAATTAAAGAAAAGCTACAGCATCCTAGGGGGTACATGTAGTTCCAGGTGCTCTTTAGTCATGCCATACTGGGCAATACATTTAGTTTCCAAAGTTAACTTCATTTAACATTACCAGTGCTATTGCTGCTAGCTATCAATGCTGCACTCACTCCCAGTGATGTTAACTTGTGACCACCAGTGGGCTGTGAGCCTAAGTGTGTTTGGGCATGTCTTGCCTAGCAATGAGTAAGCTGCCCCCTAATAGGCAGGCAGTAATAGACTTGAGCAGAAGAGAAGCACTGATTGTACAGTGAGCTTACCCAGTACCAAGGGCAAAGTGAGACAGAAAATCTGTGAGCACGTGGAGAGAATAGGGAACTGAAATAAAGACAGTTCATTAAAGCAGGCACTTATTAGTGGTTATGAGGTATAAGGTGCTCCAGGAAGATTTCATTTTTGAAGCTTTTTATTCTCTTACTTCTGAAGGAAGTTATGTTTGCCAAAAATTACTCTCAAGACTGGGAAAAAAAAAAATCCAAAAAAAAAAAAAAACCAACTTATGCCCAGAGTTTAAAAATTAAAAAAGGATGACATCAGATAACCCTATAGAGAAGTCTGTAATCAATAGATGTAATATATTCTACAGTAGTTGAATATATTGGGTGGTTGGGTTTTTTAAAGAAGAGTACCCACAAAGTAGATTCAGTCAAATTGGAATATTTGGAAAGTTCTTACAGAAGGGCATTACAATTTTAGCAACCATTTACTTTCTTTCTTTAGTTTTATATCTATGGCTTACTAGAAGCTAACTGGCAGTTAGGGAGCAGCATTTTGTTTCTCATTTCTATTGACGATCTTTCAATTTGAATAAAAAATTAAAAATGTTGTTGAATACTTATGATTTTAAACTGAAAAAAAATGTTCTTTAGGGCTGTTACGACAGGTTGCTTTTGTAAATGAAATATGCATCTCAGAGGACTTTACTGGTAAAATAAAAGTCAAAACTAATTAAGTTTCAAAGCTTGGCTGTAAGAACAGTATTACTATATACCTACTCATTAAAAGTTCAATCAATCTCTTCCCCATTTTTGTTTTACATGGCTCTATTTTATGTACTTTTTATTTGTAAGAGCATTTCCACATTCCAATTTCATCATTTTAAGCTAAAAATCTGTATTCCTTTGTATTGGTTATTTTTAATTGGTTTGAATTTCATACTTAGCAAGAAATGGCCACCAAGGAGTACCATTATAATTACTATGAGCCTTAACACTGTCCTTAGAGGGGACAGAATTTCATCTTTGAAGAAAAAACATGCTTCTAGAATATGATTTTACAATGGCCAAGTGTGATTGTCTGACATTACTTATCCCCTTGGGACAGAGTGAAGCATTTCTGCTGCTGCTTCTCCAACCCATTCTTAAGTCTTCAACAATGAAGATTTCTTCTTAGGTAGTTTATTGCAATATTTGACTTTTTCCACTACAATGAGTTCTTATATCTAATCTAACCTAATCCAATCCAATCCATCCTGGCATAATTTAAACCCACTACTCATTAGCTCTCCATTGCAGTGAACAAGCCTATATAAATTATACTCCACAGACTATTGGAAGTTAGTTCCATTTTTTACACAGTTTGTGCTTTCTGGACTTCTGATGACTTCCAGTGTTTTCTTTCGGACTTAATTTTCAAGGGATTTTCTCGCTTCTTTCTTTAAGTGTGGCATCCAAAATGAGAAAAGTCTTGCAGCTGAAGTGTTATCAGCACTGATTAGAACAATTATTTTACTTGCTTTACTAACATTATTCCTTTTCATATAAATCACTATGTCATCTGCCTCTACTTAAAATACTTGTTCAACTTGCAATTTATATATGTATATACCATACACATAGATTATTCCATAATACTTATTTTGCTTGTTTTACTAACATTATTTCTATTCATATAAATCACTATGTCATCTGCCTCTACTTACAGTACTTGTTCAACTTGTCATCTATATATGTATAGACCATACACATAGATTATTCCAACAGCATTATCTAGTGTTGCACTTCTATTACTGACCCTTCCTACTTAAATGAAAATGTCAGTATTTTTCCTTACTGATCTTCTCTCTGGTTTGACAGTAGGTCACTGGTAATATTCTGTAGGTATCATTTTGCAAACAATTACATACTTTTCCTTTCTATCTAGTCTAAATCTGACTACTTGATTACGAGAATGTTGCATCCAGCAGTGATACAAGATACGACATCTACTGCTTCTCTCCTAACCTCAAGGCCTCCTATGCTATAGAAGAAAATTAATTTGGTTTGAAATAGCTTATTTTTTGTTAATCTATCTATTGACTCATGTTCTGTCAGGAAAAATCATCTCAGAGTAGTGAATGTGCTATATAAATTCACACCATGAGTAATTTCACAATAGCTTCCATGTATACACAGAATCTAAGCTGACAGTAATAAGAGAAAGAATATCACAGTGTTACCAGACACAGTCTGTAATATGTAAATACTATTTGAATGATACTTTGAACAAAAGAATTCCCTTTTATTCAAAAACTGAAGTGCTGTAAAGGAGAGGGGGTAGATTAAAAAAGAATATTGTCAATCCTTCCAAGATACATTGTCTCTGATATTAATTTATTTTTTAAAGTAAAAATGCAGCTAATGCATCAGGTTTATGTGCTATAGAAGTGATCCCCAGCTGCTTGTTCTGAAGCTGGTTCATAATATCAAAGTTTTCTTTCAGTTCACTGTTCTCCAAATATGTAGAAATCCCAAATCCTCAATTTCTAAATTCTTCTTCAATAGGTTTAGGTTTAGAATTTTCTATAGCACTCTCCATTGACACTTACTGCCAATAAAATGCTATTTTCATAATTTAAACCTAACCCATTAAGTCACACATCTTCAATTTATTTCCCTCAAATAGCTCAGTCAGAAAGCAACTATGCCAATGTTTATGGCACATAAAACTCCTCTGCTTTTGCAGTCCCTTGGTCATATGAGAGTTGAAGCATGAATAACTGTAAAAATAAAATGGCTGCCAGTTTGTTGGATGATTTAATGAATGTATTTCAATTTAATTTCATACCTTTTCCATTTTTCAGTCATTGATAAAGTGTGTGTTCTTCGTGTATGCAAATGTTTATGAAAGCAACAAAAGTTATATAAAGGTTATTCCAGAACTTGTGTTCTTAAGAATTGGATTACTGTTATAAAACTATAATCACGCACACTAAAATGGGCATCTAAAATGTCTATATTCTTTCACCACAGAAATATAACTTGCCACAATTTTAATTTAGTGTAATCACCACCCATAAACCTACCTCTTTTGGCATGAAGGACAAGCAGCATTGCAAAGCTGACTTTCCCTTTAAGTTAACTGAATACAGATAAGGTGCTGAAGAACAGCAGTGAAACACTGTCAAACAAAATGCAGAAAAAAATTACAGACGTTATTACTCTAAATATCAACTTTATCATAGTTGCAGTACTTCAAAGTGATTTCCAACATAAGGTATCTATATATTTGTATGGTAAACATTTCTCACAAAGTTACAAGTTAATATAGTATTTCTCATAAGGATTCTACGGGTAATTTTGTGTTAATCACCAACTTTCATTAAACTTTTGATTTGTGAGAACATAATATTTCAGAAAAAAAAAAAAACCACAACACTGTCATTTACCTTTGAATAAAAGTTTTAGGTAGGCAAAAAGTTAACTAAATAATGAAAACTAAAATCACAAGGAGAAAAATACTTGGCTGAAACAGTTTTTCTAAATTACTTTTAGGCACTATATAACTTCACCAATAAGACTTGCATTTTTCAGAATTTCACATCCAATTTTAAGGCACTGGGAGAAGCATGGATTTCCAACAAACACGGTAACTTTCCTCCGAGATCAGTATTCATCCTGGAACACCAGTTTCAATGTGCAACCAATATTCACCATTTGAACAGTATTGGACCTGACTGGATGCCACATTACTTGTTTCAAGCACAAACTCTGACCTAGAAATCATGTGCAATGAGATGATTCCCATGCTGGATAGTTGCCTTTTACAGATAGAGTTACAATTCTCTTGCAAGTTAGGATGACTGGCTAGGAGCCCTCACCTTACCACCACATGGTAAGAAAACCCTTCTGCTCTTGTAAGGTCATTTTTTGTCATAATCCATATATAGATCTACATAAAGATACAACTAAATATTATAATACCATCTTGCAAAAGAAAGAGTTCTGATTTTCTGAGCTTGCAGGAACAACAGGCCATATAAGCAGAACCGCAAAATTCTCCCATGACTAAAGATGTTGGAACAGCAAAAGAGGTGCCAGAACTAACTGGAAAAGGGATGAGCAACAATGAGTGACGGATAAGAATCTGAGCTAGTTATATCGAGAAACAAAAGAATAGCAACCTGATTCCACATATTGCTCCAACGTCATTCTGAGTTGGGTATCATGTAGAACAGAGACAACAGAGGCCCTGCAATTAACCTGCAAACACTCTGTACCATTAGGAAAAAGAGAAGTCTGGACCCTTATACGGATAATGAATTAACTGAAGAGTAAAGATTGCCTAAACAGTGAGTAGGAGTCCATGAATAGGAAATGAGTATAGTTGTTTGGATTTGTTTGGTTGGGGTTTTTAAAATTCTTTTTTAATTTTAACTGGTGAGAGGTATTCAAACTGTTTTTTAAACACGCCTTCGCCAAGATAGAAAAGCAAAAACAAAAAAACAAAAAAACAAAAAAACCAAAAAAAAAAAAAAAAAAGGAAAAATCTACAGGCAATCTGATACAGTCCAAATGCTTATTTTTGGCAATTGTTATTTTACAGGCAAACCAAAACATCTACTCTTAATTCATCTTAAGCAGCACCTTTAAAATAATTGCTTTAGATTTTCTTAAATTGGAAAATCTGTATGCCAGAAATAGTCTGACAGGTATTCTCTTACCATTATCCATTCTTTATATAATGAAAAATCTGATACAGCAAAAGCAAATACCTGAATGGTCGTTAGCATTAAATTCAAAATCCTTATATTTAGAGAAGTCAAACTCCACTCTGGTACACGCTTGTCCCTTGTTCTGCAGCAAAAAGGGAATTGATTTTGTAGCACCAACATAAACACCACCAAAGTCAAATTGTTCCTGTAAGTTTAAAGAAAAAAAAAAAAGGGTAAAAGTACCATGAAGTCAAGTTTATTACTCACCAGAGTGTGAAAAAAATATAATTGTTCAAAGATTCACAATTTATAACACAATAACAGCCTTGGTGAACTAATTGTCTTGCATAACTCTTATCATCAAAATCTTTCCAAGACATAAAACACAACAGTTAAGAATTCAGTACATAATTCCAGTTACACCATCAGAAGATTTTTTCATGATTCAGTAAAGAGATCAGAGGATTCCTTTTCCTCTTACTGCATTTTTTTCCCCCTGTAACTACACCTTAAGGAAATCCTTTCCCTTTTAACATACTTTTTCCAGATTCTCAAGTTCAAAAGCTAAAGCTGTCAGCTATCATTAATGCAACTGGTATACGTTCATTTAGTTTTTAATTTCTCTTCTGAAGTTTTTCTCTCTGATAATTTTCTCAGGAAGTTAGTATAAGAAAATATGCAAAATATGAAGTAGAGATGAGCCACTTTGACATATACATAAAGTAAAACACTATCAATCTTACCAATTGCTACCATTTTTTTTATACTTACCACATCAATATTTACTTCAGGGACCTCTACAAATCCACCAATCCTAAGCATTAGTATTTCTGAATTTCGCACTGCCACCTAAGTGAATAGACAAAAGTGTGATTACTGACAAGGTCACTTTAACATAAGTATCTCACCAAATCAGCCATAGTTACATGGAAAAAAAAAAAACCAAAACAAAAAAAACAACCCACCAACCAACCTACCCCACAGATACAGAGTGGAGAAAGACATTCAACCTAATTTGTAATGTAATGAAAATGTGAAAGTAATTATGGTCTTATAATGCATCTCCGTTATGGGTATATAAAGAGGTAAAGAAAATGCCTTCATTTTCCAGGACATTTATATACAGATTCCAGTGAGATGTGGCTTCACAGAAAAACCAATCATGCCTCTGTGGCATACCATATCTGGGATAGTTATAGCTGTCAATTAAAAAAAAATTACATAAATTAAAAAAAATCAACACAAAAACAAAACAAAAAAAACCCCCACAGTTTTAGGAAATACTAGTTTTCTGCAGAGAAAAATAGCATTACAGGAGGCTGTATCACTAGAATGAACAGTGTTGTCCAACAGGAGGAAGATAAGTGGTTGGGTTAGATTTAAGCTGAGTGGATGGGTTAGATCTATTCATCAGCTGTGAGGATTGGAAAGCATACTACAACACAAATTGCTTGACAGAGATCCTGGTACAAAGTAGATATTATTGTTCTAAGCAATGCTAAATCTGTTTTAGAAGTGGAAAAAAGATATGGATACTGGGTTTAGAGAGTATAATGTAGGCAGCCACAGAAGATGGAAAACCCAGGATTAGTCAGAAAAGGTAGCAAAAGTCAGCCCCATGATAGTATCCTTTTACCCATTCTCACTTATCCGATCAGGAACAAGGTCAGGAAGCACGCATGCAGAACACAAAACAGGATTTGTTGCTTATTGCACTCCCATCACCAAATCAAATCTACTAGTAAATCCACTTCTGAGATGACCACAAAAAGATGTCAAGAAATTAAAGACACTGCAGTATTACAGTCCTGCTCCAATATAGATCATAAAAGCAGCGGATATGCCTACATGATCTTCTGAAGACAATCACAAGTTAGTTTCAACAGCTTGCCAAAGGTGTATCAATCAGCTCAAACTGAGAAGCTGTTTTGATACTTCTCAGCAGGACTGAGACAAAATTCAGAATAGGTTACAGCAGCCATCAACTGCTGATGAAAACCTATTTTTCTTTTCTTTTTTTCTTCCCCCCCACCAAAGAAAAAAAGCACTAGAATACTGGAGATAAAATCCAAAAGATGCTCAAATGCACACACACCTCCACACATAAACAAACAATGTAACACTCAAAAGATAAAGTTCTTCTGGTTTTGAATACCTCCACTTTTGTATCAAAATTCATTTTTGTATTCGGAGTGAATGAGATTTTGAGATCAGCATAGCCTCCCACAGGTACCACTCCTTCAGAAGGTGTGATCATCATTCCAGGCAATGGGTTTGAATCAAGAACCTTCAAAACACAAGCATAAAACATTAATATTTCCAAAAAAGGTGGTGGTTTCATGGAGGGAGGTGGGCAGGGATTTGGTTTGGGTTTTTGGGGGGGGTTTGGGGTTTTGTTTGGGTTTTTTTAATATTAGTATATATATAATGAAGATTTTATATTCTTAGAAGAGCATTCATAGCATGCAATGTTAACTTGGACTTAGAAGCTTGAGATAAAAATACAGGTAAACAAAATAAAGAAACAGATTCCTAAACATGCTGACTGTCAGTTTCTACGACAACATAATGTTTGCACACTGGTTGGAAACTTCACATTCTGGTTTTCAGGTTATTTTCCAGTTGTTTTTGTGAACTAATTAAAATTAAAACTTGTTATGTAGCAAATCTTCACAATATCTTACAACACATATTTTCAGTGACAGATGAATTCTTCACTTCTTTTTTGACATTCACAGTAAGAAGACAGGTCATGGAATCCTAATACTGTGAAGTTCATTAATAATACTAGTAGTAAATATCCAGTTTACCCACAATTAGTGGGGACAAAATAGAATTTGTTTTCTTCTAATGCGCTGCAAACTGATAACTTTTTAAAGTATAGCTACCCAAGTGACAATGACCAAGACCAAGCAGCCATCTCTTGGCTTAAAAGTAAATATGGAGGCTTAAAAGGCTGGGTATGTTTGCCTTATTGATTATGCTGGTTTTATTAACTCAGATCTAGCCTCCAAGAGTGCAGGAATAATACTCATTACAATGATCCATTAATAAACAGAGAAATGCGGTAAAAATCAAAATAAATTAATAAAGTTTCTTAGTACCATAGCAAAGTAGTAAAAAAATTCTGAGGATTTTAACAAAAGTTATTTTGCTTCACTAAATAGAGCAAATTACTCTGTGATCGGGAAAACAAATGAAGTTAGGTTTCCTACCAGTTTGTGTATTATGTCTTTGCACCCTCTGGCATCCAAGTCATCTCTTATCCAACTCATAATACAGCCTATCTTCCTCTCACATATTAGTAATCACATTTGCTGTGTCTGGTCTGGGTCTGTGCATGGACTGACTGGACAGCTAGCATGAATGACTAGCCAGTTTGCTCTGTTGCTCAAAATATAAAATCATCCAAGCTGTAACTGCTTTTTTATATGCTACACCAGTATGAGATTCTACCCCCACCACTGGTAGTGACAGAGGGACAAATTCCTCTTCCAATAAATATTGCTTCTTCAGAAAACCAGACAAAAATTTAAGTAGGTGTGTATCTAATAATTGAGAACACAAGACTCTAACATGACCTGATAAAATGAAATCCCTTCTTCCATCCCACCCCAAGAAATTAAATATGTTAAAAATAATTTTAGCTTACTTGGAAATACGCATGATTGCATCCTATGTTTTGAAGAGTAGCTGTCTTACAAGTAGATAAACCCATTGGGCTATGACTGAAGGGTATCCTTTGTTCCACAAACTGAACTTTAGTAGTACCAAGCTATTAAAAAAAAAAAAAAAAAACCAAGACCCAAAGCAAACTACATATTATTAAGTACAAATAAATAAGTCAACCTAATTTTCTTTTCATTATATAATGAACTAATACGCTTGTGGAAATGCATAAATTAGAAGTACCCCAATAGACATAGTTTAAATGTGAGACAATATTTACTCAATATATTGAACTTATCTAGATAAGTCCCAAATAAAAATATTTTAATTAAATTTAATTTAACAGCATAAGCTCTGTGATTTTCTTTTAATCCTAAGTGTGTGATCAGGACAAGATACTTCAGAGTTTCTAATAGCAGTAGAAATGCTAGTATTCTAATTTATACACATCCTGGTTCATATATAGCAATTTCCAAGGCTTCAAAGGAAGAGGAAGAATAGGAAAAACTTACTGGGGGAAAAGCATAAAAGATAAAGCAAGCACATCAAAAGGAAGGGAAAAGTTTTATTTGCTCCCAAAATAGAAGTTCTAGCACATGCAGCCTCTACAATTCAGCAAAAGGGGAAAAAAAATAAATAAAATAAAAAGAAAGTGTCTTTCTCCTTCCACCTCCCTGGCTTGTAACATAAGAAATGATTAACCAAAGCTGAATTTCACTGTTTAGAAGACTATCTAGAGCACTGCTTTTCAAATTATCAAATATCAACACAAAATAATGTTACAGTCTGTTGTCTCAAATATACCTTCCCACACACAGCTTTTTTTTATCCCTTCAATATCTGTCGATAGAACTATCACCTTTCAACCTTTGTTTGGCTAAACTAAGCTGGCTAAACTAAGCAAGCCAAGAACAGTAATTACCACTTAATATATAAGGACCACTAAGTTGTGGTGCAAATAAAAGTATATCATCAAAGGCAAGAAAAAGGCAAATTGTCTCTCTCTTGCCTTCTCCATTCATGTCTTTGGAGCAACATTCTTTTGTTAAACATGTCAAATAGAAGACATGAGATTAAAATATTTTTTTTTTAATACGTAATCGAAATATGTTAAGAAATTACTTGTTTAGAAAAACCACACATATTGCTTCTCTATACCTGCTGTATAGATTCTTACCTTTGCAAAACACTTCAACATAATGGTGTTTCCTTTACGCACACACAAGTTGAATTCTCCTGCTTCTGGAGAGCTGTACCCTGGATGCCAAACAACTTCACACTCCAGATCTCTATAGGCCTCCACAAGGCCTAAGTAAATATGCATAATTTACATGTTATAGCATACAGGTACAATTATCAAATTGTTAATTAGAAATAACATAAACATATTAAAGTGAAATGACCTTCTATTACTGAAGACTAAGCTTACATTTCAATGGTGTTGAACAGTATGCCGAATTAAGGAAAATTATTTTCTGAATTCTCATGACTATTGCATAATCTGTTTAATAGTGTCCTGTGGAAAAACCCACTCAAGAGTTCACTGATGGTTTTTAGCCATGAATTACTCAAATAGTCAACATTTAGAAAAATAGAGCAACAGACGACTATTATTCTTGTAGAATCACAAGTTTGGGAAAGATCATATACATTTTCCTGCTTGCAACAGAGTCTGAACTCATATCAGCAGAAATATATTTTCTCAAGAAATCAGAGCTGATCCAGCCAAATTTTTTTTTAACTGTGTAATTCCAATTCAGTTAGTAGCTGTCTCTTTAATAATGGAGCTCCATCATACTCCTGCAGAACACTATCTTTCAAAGGAAAGAAGGTAAAAGTTAATGTCTCACAACACTTCTAATATTGATCCATAATGCAAGTGGAAACTAATCCCAGATTGAATTCCATTTGTATCACTCAGACCCTCTACATCGTCTTAGCAGCTTCACATACAGTGCTTTTGGAAAAATTCCTATCCTGATAAGCTGTATAATATTGGTAACTGCCATTAAATAGTTGCCTCACTTCTGAAATATCAGCAATTTGTACTGAGAAAAATAGATACATAAGCACTGGTGGCATAGAAACAATGAACTGGACTGAGTATACACTCAGGGAAGGAGTTGTAGAGTGCCGCTACGGTATACCTTCTGATCTGGTATTACTTTTGGGATACACTGACCCAAATCTAAAAAATAAAGTTTATAGCAACAGCTGAATATTTGTTTTATTTAACATTGTTGACATTTAAGATAGACGCGCACACACTGGACTTGCTTAGTATACCTTTGGCTGGCTGTACAGAAAATGCAGTTCTTCTATTTTTAATTATAGGTTTCCAAGTAAACTCAGCGGGATGGTTTCTGGGATTGTATATCCTGACAGTTGTTCTAAATTCTGCCTCTGCTAGGTAGCCAGGAATAGGATTTAAAATCACTTCTCTTGCAGACAGCTCAAGTTCAACAGATACTGCTTTTGCAATTACTAGCACATGCCCAAGATGTTGGTTGTTTATTGTGTAAGTGAAAGATCTGTAACAAAAATATATATTTTTATGTATTTGTTATGATACAGTCAAATTTATGCAAAACAATCATTAGCAAGAAAATACTTGACAAAGCAATTGTCAGTCTTAACTGTGTGTTCACAAGAGAAAGCAATTTGTAATTACTTCACATACAACTTAAATCATGTTGAAAGTGCAGATTATCCCAAAAGATGATACATACAGTCATTTCAACAGCATTATGAAAATGAGAGTCCTATCTCCATACCAGAGGGCTAGAAAACAGCATGCCTATAGATTTACCCACATGCTGCACCAAAAACATAGATGCAGCGATGCAACACTATGCTGGAAAAAGTACAGTATTATCTATTAAATTTTCCTAACAAATACATTGTAATGGCAAACATTTTTCCTTGATATACCTGTGGCTATATGGGCTTTTGACAAGACAGTTTCTTGGTGGTTTTTTTTTAAATCTTAAGAAATATTTTTGTATTAGCAAAATTTTGCAATATAAAACTGTGTTAATTATTGCAATATCACCATAACTGAATGTACACTGTTAACAATTATCATAATTATACTGCGCTTAAACCAGCCACAGGATTTTTTATTTTACTACTGCAAAGAAAATAAGTAAATCAAGACAATTATAAAAAGCCTTACTTTTTAAACATTCCGAGAGTCCTTGTCTCAAATACAATTGGAACATGAGTCTTTGTAAAAGGAGGCACCACCTGAGACAATGGACCTGACTTCTGTAATTCATCAATTTCAATATCAATTTGTATCCATATATGAACTAACAAGTTATTGATGATTTGCAGTTTCCTGAACGTTGTAGAATACACACAAACATCACCAAAATCCATAGTAGAAGGACCTGGTATATGTAAGAAATAAGATCTTCAACATTAAAAAGTTAATGTAAGGAAGCATGACTACTAAAACATTATGATCAAAACATTTTAATTCCTCAAATTACAGAATTAGTCATCTAGAACAATCCTGTGGCAGAACAAATTCACACTAAAATTTAGAAGTAAATACCATGCATGTTCTGTGCATGCTTTCAGTAGTACAACTTAAAAGCCAGCACCAACATCTATTTCTATAACAGGAAAAGCAATGTGCTAATTACTAAAAGGATTATTAATAATAATAAATATTTTTTATTGATCAGATACTTAAATAGTTAGACAATCAGCAATTCACTGAGAGTTTATATACTTAACCTGTTAATTTGCTCCCTCGTGTTTGACCATTTGGTTTAATAACTCATGTAATTTGATGGTGACAGAATTATCTCCCTACTTTATTTACTGTTATCACCAGTTTTTATGCTGGGCTGCAAATTTCAGTGCTCGTGGCACTAATTAAACATCTTACAAAACTCTATGTACTTTTTGTAATTAATATGTTTATCTTATTCTACTTTTCCCTAAGTGTACCAGTATATACAGCTAGTTTTAATGCCAAGTGTTGTTAGTAGATGAATCCCTCAAAGACTTTAACAGGTGTAAATCCCCATCACAGAGCAATCACAGAAATTATTTAAGGAGGATCCTGAAGAAGTTTCACTTTTTTCAGGTGTCACTGTTCATTGTTAATACCCAGAAACATTCTGAACACTCCCATGAATTTTGACAATATTAATGTTGGTTCAGATACTATCCAATAGCAAGGCATAGGGGTATGAACAACTCATACTATGCTGCATTGATGTTTCTCTAATAGGCTGTAGTATGAGCAGTCTTTAAAGAAAGCTCTCCTTTTGCATTTTCTTACCTAGTCATTCCTCCCGATTTTCTGAGAAGTAAAAGACTTTAGTTAAACACTACTGCAGGTAATAAGCTGCCACCAAATTAAGCTATTTTCTATTTAAGCTGAACAATTATGAACGTAAATTGCATTACTGTAAATAAGAGCTTTTATAACAACTAGTGTTATTATTATAGTACTATATTTAGCAACTAGTGGTATTATTATAGTACTATATTTAGCAACTAAATTAAAAATCTTACCTATGAGTATTTGATGAAGCTGCTTTGATGTCAAAGTTAGACTACAATCTTCCTTTTCTTGGGTAGAAGATGGCACAGCATTAAGCCCAGTCCAAGTCTGTGATAAGCAAAATGCATCTTCTCAGAGCAGGATTAAAATTCTTATGCTTTTTATATGGTAAACAAATCATGCTTAAGTTACTATCACACATTTAACTTACGTCTTTGATTGAAGATTTAGAACCAATTGCTGATGATTTTTGACTAGTTAAAAGACAATTCTCATCTAAAGGGAGCATTTTGAACTGTGACTTCTCCTTGTGAATATCTGTGATTGACATCTTTGGTGACATAAGCCCTTCAGCTGGTTTAAGGCCTATGCTCACAGAATTATTATAAATATAAAACTGCCTATAGGGAAGGAGAAAAAAAAATAATATGGAAATCCAGAAGTCTGAGCATGTTCCACACATTAAAATATTTAATATGGTTAAACAAAACAAATTATACTCTAACTTAGGATATTTCATTATTAAAAAAAATACTTCAGTTACAGAAAATGCATTGAAATTCTTTTGCTGTATTGTTTAGGCAACAACTAACAACTGCTGCGCATTTGTAGCAATTGCTAAATCAGCTAAATCAGTTGCAAGTATTATGGCTACGAAAATATAAATATTACATCATGTCTAAAATACTTCTTCAAGAACAATTAAGTTGTAAAGTCAAGTACTTAACAGTTAGCAAATACCAAGATTACAAAGGATGATTTAATTGTATATGTCTGAACTGCACCACTTACAGCCTAATTTTCAGAGCAATTAACTTTTTTGGTTAAAGTTCAAATTCAGTCAGTTTCACCTGCAACCAAAGGATTTGAAACTTCCAGAGATCTTATACAGATGTTTTCTACCAAGTATTCAGAAAATTAATACTATGTTGCATAGTAACAGTAAAATTCATCTGATAACTGTGGAATGTTCCTTTCTGACCTTGCTCCTCATGCAATAAAATATAATTTTAATATACGCCTTACAGGTATATAAACAGTTCAACCATTCCACAATACCAGTTTCTTTCAAGAACACCACATACCACATGCATGTATAAAAATAAAATAAATCAAGCTCTGCAGGCCTTGTCTGAATCATGATCTATATAAACAGAGTAAGGTAAATTGAGATTGCAAGAATAATCCACTGGCACTATTTCTCTTTCTTAATAACGGTTCTTGTAAACTAAACACTCTTAAGGTATTAATCTTGCTTTACTCATTACTATTACTCATCTTGCTTTAGAGGTTTCACAGGTTGGTTTTAGGGTTTTTTTTTTTAATAATACTTTTAGAAATAGCAGAGCTGTAAGTTCTTTTCCATTATTTTGTTCCACAGCCTACCTAAAACAAAGGCAGAAGACCAATACAATCCTTTAATCTTATCTGCTTTGTTCCACAAATTATGAAATAATTTACATACTGAATCCACCACTTTGGGTCAGCTAGAGATACAAGTTGGAAATACATATTATTTATCATATAAAAATAAAAAAGAATCCAAAAACAGTGTTATGTTTTTCCTCTTAACTATAGCCAACTCTTCTTAAAACTTGGTATCTTATTTTAATTCCAAGTTGCATGCCTCCATCCCTACATTTTACCCAGGAAGTGATCCCTAAGTGTCTAAATGAACATTTGAACAAAACAGGTTTTGGTTTAGGCATTCTAAATGAAGATCCCAAGACCATAAACATTTCAGCATGGGTTAAATTTAGGTATATGATTGGTGCCACGAAGTTAACTCTGCACATATATACGCACATTTTTCATATGAACCCGAAGTGTTTATTTATCCTTTAAAAAAAGTCTTACCTAGTGGTACCTTTCAGCAAACGATGCTGTCTTAAACTAGAAATGAAGTCTGCATAGTATTTCTTATGTGCTTCTTTTGACAGTTGTTCACAGTCAGTATAAGAAAACTCTGGATCTATATAATTATATCTTTCAGTCTTTGTGAAAATAGTCCTAAATATTTAAAGAGAATTGAAGTTTCACTACATGTGTAAAATAATTCTGGGCCTTGTTAGAATGAAAATATCAATTTTGCTACATATATATTTCATTGCAAATATTCTTTTTATCATAGCTGAGTATTAATACTTAACCTCATAAAGGCAACCAGAAAAATGAAATACTGAAACTGTAATAGCTGCGTTTGTAGCTTCACATGAGAAAAGCAACTCATGAAATTTATGTGTAAAAGGCATAAGTTTAAGTAGAACACAATGAATTTTAAAGAACTTTAGGCCTGAGGAAAAAAAAAGAAAGCCACAAAAAACAGGAAACTGTCATATGAGTAACCAATCTCGATCTCCTATATACCATATAAGAATGTGCAAATTTACATTTTACATTTGCATAATTTTTACCTGTACTTTTTATTCCGTTCACTAGGCCTAATGCTGGCTGCGCGATCATTAGGAAAAGCTGTAAGTACTTCACCCTTACAATTCCTGTTTATCCGGTGACTATGAATTTGTGTTTGGGCTGATTTAAGTATTGCCACAGGTGCTGTATCAGTGCACTGTTCTGTGCCATGAGCTACAAACTGTCCAGTTGCATTGGAAATCATTGGTGTTATACCTTAAAATTCAAATAAAACATGTTACATCCACTTATACTAATATTTACTGAACAATAGTTGAAGAATTAGAAAAATAATTCTTAATTTATGCTGGTCCACCCAGCAGTGCAACAATCAGTCACCCGTCCCACTGTTTTCGCCAGACAAGATTGAAAAAGGCAATCAGACCATACTAACAGCCAACCACTTTCCCTGGTCTAGATGACAGACAGACAAATACTAGAATAGAAACCACTCCTACAATGTCCAGCTATGACGCACTGTCTTGCGCATGCACATGACCAAACACTCGGAGCTGCCTCTGTTACAACACTGTCCACAGTGTCCTAAAGCTTGCCTTAAGGGCTGCAAACACAGGCATGACTTTTGATAAAGAACTCTCAAGCTATCACAACTGAAACAAGAGCTCTTATCTTTTTCACTCTAGTTTTAGAAAAGCACAGAAACTAGGCCATGTGTTTGCTCACCTCTCCTGTGTACATGTATATGTACATAAAGATACACATGTTTAAAACAGCACTATAAATAAATTAGTAAATCCAGTCTTCAACTGGCCCTTTCTCCCTCACCTGCAAAAAACAAACAAACAAACAACAAAAACAAAAAAAAAAAAAAACACCAACCAACAACTACATTCCATCCTCCAAACTATAGGAGTGATTAAAGCTTCTACTGCCCAGAGAGGCACAGTTTGCAAGGAACTTCATTCCAGCCTTATCCCACCTCCACTGAATACAGATACAGCTATACATACTCATCCTCAGAGACTGGGAGAACAGGAAGATGTAGAACCCATCTATATAAGGATCTGAAAAAAATAAACCATTTTCCCTCCGTGCCTCAATGAAGCTTAGAAGCAAAGTATAAATAGCAGTAGCCTATAGAGGACAGATATCCCTCATAACCTCTTTATAAACCTGCAGTAGGAGCAGAATGGGGACATCAGTAGGGCAAATGGTAGATGAGCATTTAGAAAAGTTGACAAAACCTGAATATTATATTAAATTCTTTGATCCATAGAAACATATTTGTGTATAAGTACTTTAAAAAGTACTTATAAAACATTTTATCATTTGTCATTTATCTTTGTAGCATCTTACCAGGATTAATTTTGAATAGAATGTTTTTTCGTTTAGATTTGCACACACCAGTAAAGCTCAAATATATTTGGTGAAAGGGTTTTGTCTTCAGAATCTGCAGATTATTTTTCTCAAGTGCTGTACCAATTATATCAACAACTTGCTTCACTTTAAATGTTCCTATTTGATGCGGAGTAAATGAAAACATCACATCCTGGAAAATAAAAGTTGTTATGAGACATGAGCAGAGAAGCAAAGAGAAAAGTTTTGTGTAATTCTCTAAGTCACTTTTCTGCACACTTACTTCTAAGATAAGTGTTCAAAACTGACCTTTTAGGATATGCCAACTGCCACACATAAATTAACAATATAAGGAAATAAAAAACTGCTACACATCAGAACACCACAAAGTCACAGTTGCCTGTTTCTGAAACAAATTATTCTCTCTTGCGCCCTGAGTTACAGGTTTGTGAAATTATAAATGTCTGTCTCCATATTTGACATAAATTTGGCAAAATTTCTTCCATTAAAAGAAATTTTATCTTACTCAAGTACTTGTGGTTTACTGAAAGAAATTAAAAGGATCCTGAAAAGGTTTAAATAGAAATCAATCTTCTCAAGTCAGTAAAATATTAGAAATTTAAAGCCAGGAAAAAACTGAGTAGTTTCTTTAGTTCTGTGTCATGGTTTAAGCCCAGAACATGCTGCAATGAGTTTTTTTCAAATTTAAAATAACACTTGTTGTTTCCTGGGGTACAGGAAAGACTATACATGAGAAGAAAAAAATATATACATTTGGATGATATTAAATGTCATGGCTACTGAAATGAAATTGTTCTGGTTTACTTTCAAGAAATTCCACTGCTGACTACTGTAAAGTAATCAACATGTCTACAGAATCTAAGAGAAAGGACTAGTTACCTTTGTAGATTTTTGTCTGATTTTTCCTTTTTCAGGAGAAATATTAAAGTGAGCAGTCTTGCGGAAGCTGAATGTTACTGGAAGGGACTCGGATTCATTTTTAAGTGTGCAAAGAATTTGTGTTTGTTCACCCACAAAACAATCCGAAAAGTTAATAACTGGTCCTGGATTAAAAGTTAACATGACAGGAAGCCCAGAACCTGTCAAAGCTAAGTCCATGTGATGAGGATGATTCACTGCAATAGACACACACAAAAAAAAAAAAAAAAAAAAAAAAAAAAAAAAAAAAAAAAAAAAAAAAAAAAAAAAAAAAAAAAAAAAAAAAAAAAAAAAAAAAAAAAAAAAAAAAAAAAAAAAAAAAAAAAAAAAAAAAAAAAAAAAAAAAAATAAATAAATAAAAATCTCACACATCTATTCTCCTACACACAGAAAAGTCATACCGTAGTCTTACAGTTGCAAATACAATAATACAATATGATTTATAATGCACTTTTCTATAAATGTAGCCCAGACATGCTTACTTATAATGGCTGTTAGATAAATTATTCCTTCATTACGGAAACTGAAGGTGATATACTATACACTTGAAAATGCACAAAACTGGTATTAGCAAAGTGCTGGTGACTTGCAAATGACTGCGGGGTTCTTTTATGTCCTTCAAATATTTACATTTATAATTAAGTTCTAGGTGTTCACTAGCAGCTGGTCTATTCATGACACATAACTCCCTCCTCCTTTCTACTCACTGTTCAAAGAGGTTTTGGTGCCAAAACATTAAGGATGTAAGTTACAATAATTTATTTGTATGAATAGGGAAAAAAAAAATTCCAAACCACAAACAAAGGTTTCCCATAAAATTAAAAAAAAAAAAAACAAACCAAAACAAAACAAAAAACCAGACATACAGTTTTGTCATCTATATATACATTTCTGATAGTCACTATACATTTCCAGTAACATACCTTTGATTGCTGTAGCACCATCATTGAGGGCCTGCAGACAGATATCTTTATTTCTAACATTCTCAAATCTCACAAACAGTACATAATCTTGTCTTGGGGATGAATCGTGCACTCCAAAGTCCCTTTGAAATTTTCTGTAAGAGCCACAATCTCTAATTACAAGTTGGGGGGGGGGGGGGGGGGGGGAACACAAGCAC